CGACATCTCTTTGTCATTTTCAGGGAATGGCCCCTCTTCTGCCAGGAGGTAGAAGAATACCACATCCCATCCCTCTCAGAAGCCCTTGCCCAATGTGAGGCATACAAGTAAGGAAACTTTGCTTTGGACATCACGTTCTGGAGTATGGACCTTTATATTCCTCTTGGGAGCCCTGTCCTATGTCCTGTCTCCCAGTAGAACCTGTTCTCCTTGGGGTTATGGGGTGGAGCAGGCCCAGGATTGGCCAATGACTTAAGCAAAACCCTTCTCCGCCACTGTCTAGAATTAACTCCCAGCCAAAGGGCAGACCTGACCAATGGTTGATGGGCTAGGGGAAGCTTCTGCTCACTAACCAACCCCTCTTGGCATCTGCAGGTCATGGACCCAGGAGAAAGAATCTGAAAATGAAGAAGCTTTTCCCATCAGGAGGCTGCATGTGGTGACAGAAGGGCCAGGGTCACTGGTGGAATTCAGTAGAGACACCAAAGAAGTAAGTCCCAACCTTCTTTGGTTTGGTGTAGTCCTCAAAGAGCACCACTACGGGGCTCAGGGGGAAGACCTCACTACTGAGGGACATGGCAAAATGAAAGAGCAGGGCCTACATGGGTTCCTAGCACAGTAACTCGTTTCTGAACCTCGAAGGAGACACAGGGAATTGTTGGCTGCTTGTGGCTTGGGATGCTGATAATATGTCCCTTTGGAGTGTGAGAGGCCCCTGGGCTGGCACCACCCCTACTCAGACTGAGCCAAGTTCAGTCTGACCCATGTAGGGGATGGGATTGTTCTGGGTAAGCAATTGAAGTCTTGGAGGCCCAGCTTATTATATCTTGGGGGAAAGCTTCAACGTGGAAGCATAAAATGCCCAGAGCTACTGTGCCCTTCCTCCTCAGACCACAGCTTGCATGCCTGTGGACTTCCAAGACTGCAATGACAGGACTCCATGGAACAAGGCCAAGGGGACCCTGGCCAGGTCCAGCCAGATGGAGGAGGCTGACCAGTACTCCCAGACCATCCAGGTGTCCCTGTGCCGAAGCGCCAAGAGGGCAGGCAATCCCAGCACATACTCACACTGTCCTGGCCTCTGTGCCAACCCCAGACACTGGGGGGCTCACCCTGAGAGTCCTCCCAAGAAGAAGTGTACCACAGTCAACCTCACACAGAAATCTGAAATCAAAGACCCTCCTGTCACCCCCATGCAAAAACTCATCTCCCTGGTGAGAGAATGGGACATGGTCAATTGCAAACAGTGGGAATTCCAGCCACTGCCAGCTCCACGGAGCAGCTCCTTGGAGGAAGCTGCCCTACAGCTCCCCTCAAGAAGTGAGGCTGCCTCCCAGCCTAGCACCTCAGCTTCCTGGAAAGGCCATTCCACAGCCTCAGAGAAGGACCTAGGTCCACAGGCAGGGGCTGGGGCTGGAGCCAAAGACAAGGGGCCAGAGCCAAGCTTTAAGCCATACTTCTCCATGAAAAGAGCTGTCACCCTGAAGGACTGGGGCAAGCAGAGGCCAAAGGAGAGAGGTGAGTCCTGTCCCATCCGTGACCTAAGTCTCATTTAGAACAGAGAAGGCAAACCTTGGCCAAGACCATAGAGTTAGTGACAATGGGGGACCAGAACCCTGCACGCACAGATGCAAGCTCTGTGCCAAGCAGCAGATACAAGAATGACTGACACACTGGCATGGCTTGAGGGACCAAGAGACCACAAGAGGCAAAATGATGAGTGCTATGGGAAGGGGGTGGCTGTGAAGTGACAGCAGCACAAAGGAGGCTAGGGGCTGGGGAGTCAGCAGAGGAAGGAAGGAGAAGCCTCAGCTACTTGTGGAAACACAGATCACTGGTCTAGCTGGAAGCCAGGCTTCCCTGGAGAAATGATGGGAGATAAGGCTGAAGACAAAGTAATCAGGACAGGTCTTCTGAGCCAAGTTCAGGACCTGGCACTTTGTTCTGATCCTAAGGGGAGTGGGCAGCCACTGAGGCATTTTAAACAAGGGAGCAAGCAGTCAGGTGTGCACTTAGAAAGCTTGCTCCAGAGCAGAGGAAATGCAACAGCAGGAGGGGAAGTGTTATAAGTAGTGAGGTCATTCTAGGTAAAACAGGCTAGGCAGTTGTGGGAGGAAGGGGAGAAGGATCAGGCCAAGCAGGGGCCAAGTTTCTGGCTTGGGTGACTGCAAGAGGGGTGGACGGTTACTAAGGTGGGATGGACAAGAGAGGGAGTAGCCTTGGGGAAGAGGACATGTTATGTGTAACGTGCTGAGAGACATCCAGGTGGAGAAGTCCAGGAGATAGGTCTGTGGGAACTGGGCCGAAGAGAGGTGTGTTGTGTATGGTGGGGAGGTGTGGAGATGGCCCAGGGAAGTGGGCTGAGAACTGCCATGACGGGCTGTTTCCTCTGCTCCTTCAAAGTCCTTCCTACAGTATTGTTGCCTTCCCTTTTAGTGGCTCAGGCCGTGCTTGGAGGGGCCTTCTTGGGTCCTGCCTGTGAGCCCCAAGTTGGTCTGTCAAGCATACTCTTCAGAGTGGACACGCATCAAAGGCTTGCCCAAAAAGCTTCTCTCAATTTACAGTTTTACAAAGATTTCCAGTCCCAAGCTGGGTTATTATCAGCCCTATTTGAACCACTCTTGGTTCAACATTAGAATTTGGAAAGTTCCTTGGAGTTCTGAAATTTAGGATTTGGCTTGCAGTGATTCCAGGGCAATGAAGAGAGGAGAGCCAGGACAGGCCCTGCCAGCCCAGGGTGCCACTTCCGAGAAGCAGGAAGCAGCAGCTGCTGGAAGGTTGGGATGACTGACTGCAGTAGTCTGTCACCAGACGTCCCCCTCCCTGCTTGGTCTCTGAAGTGGCTTAAGGAGAGCCCCCTCCCCACATTATTTTCACAGAAAGCCCTGCCCCTGAGCAGCCTCTGCCTGAGGCCAGTGAGGTGGATAGCACAGGGGTTATCCTCAAAGTGACCCACCCTCCTGTGGTGGGCAACGATGGCTCCTGCATGTTCTTTGAGGACAGCATCATCTACACCACACAGATGGACAACCTCAGGCACACGCCACCCACAGCCAGTCCCCAGCCCCAAGGTAAGGCTCTGGAGCCATGCCTGGCCTGCACTTCCTTGTGAAGATGCCTGAGCCCCTACCCAAGGTACTTGAGGGAGACAGTCTCCCTTGGGATCCCTACACCTCTCTCCTTACTCCAGAGTAACTCTGACGCCCTAGCTGCAGGCAGATGTGGCCACATTCACTCTCTCCTTCACAGGGGTGACTTTCTTGAGTTTCCCTCTGTCCTGGGAAGAGATGTTTTATGCACAGAAATGTCACCGCTTCCTGACAGACATCATCTTGGATTCCATCAGGCAAAAGGACCCCAAAGCCATCACAGCCAAGGTGGTCTCCCTGGCCAACCGGCTGTGGGTATGTGATAGGCCTAAGGCCTTGTTCCTTCTCTACCTGTCCTCTTGCCCTCCCCCCACCCCAATAAGTGGTGCAAGGTAAGAGGAACCAAGCTAAGAAGGGGGATGAGGGAAATAGGTCAGGGGCAGAAAGGGCAGGTAAGAAGGGCAGGGACAGGAAGACAAGGCAGCAGCATCTGGACCAACCCCTGGCCAAGAGGCAGTTTGGAGTGATAATGCCCCCCGAGCTCTGCGGCTCCTGCAGGTCCAGTGAAGCCCCTGCTTTGCATCCCACTCTGAGGGGCTCAGAGCAAATGTGTGTCAGCCAGCTGCCCCCAGACCTGCCTGACCGTGAGCTCTTCTGGCAGACCCTGCAAATCAGCCCCAAGCAGTTTGTGGTGGATTTGCTGGCCGTCACCGGCTTCAAGGATGACCGGCACACCCAGGAACACCTGTACAGCTGGGTAGAGGTGAGGGCCACTTGCACTCCACTGGGAATGGTGACCCTGTGGATGTGTCAGATGGACACTGTCTTGCTGCACCTGCATGAGGGCCAGGCCAGTACTGCCCAGAAGGCGAGGCAACCAGCTAGACCTCTGGTCCCTGGTCCTGGGGAGGGAGAAACGATGGCTGAAATTAACCAGTCCAGAGTGGTCAAAAAAGCATTCAGGCGACTGGTTTTTGTAATTTTCCTCCAATGATACCAATTTTGCCTTCATCACTGACAACCCTGGCCACACTCGGGGAAGCATTATAATATGAGCCCAACCTTTTGGGGTGCTGAAATCAGAGAAACTATTGGCAGTCAGACCTTCTTAATGGCTGATACCAACTTCACCTGCTTAGCCATGATGTGACCACTTTTGTACATTCCCCTCATATTTAAGCTGCTTTAAAACATTCTTTACAAAGAAAAAGAAAATGTCCTATAAGGGCAAAGGAACGACCCAGGTTTTTTGATTCCTTAAAATAATTTTAGGGCTCAAAGTTTTTATTTTAACATTGTAGGTAAAAAAGATTTATCTAATTTCCCATTAGTCTGATATTTCTGTAATCAAGGGCATTATTACAACACCTTTTACCATAAACACACTAGTACCCAATTACTATTAGGCCTCTGACCTAATATTGATTGGAAAGGTGAAGTCAGCATCTGCGGCTAGAAGGTGGAAGACCAGTGGCAGGAATCATACATTTTTGACCCTCTGGTTATTCTCTTCACTCCCTGGTAGCCACCCCTAGCCACAGCCCTGTGAGATGCCTTTGGGCAGAACTGAGCCCAAGAGCATCAGGTTCCCAACAACTGGCCTTGCCCTGCCCCTACACCCACCCAGATGAGAGGACCCCGCCCACACACAGCCAGAGTGGGCAACTGGCCAGCACGTCAGAGATAAGACCAGCCTTTCCTTCCAGCTCACACTGCCTTTTGCCAGGAAATATGGTCGCTGCGTGGACCTGCTCATCCAGAGGGGCCTGTCTAGATCTGTCTCTTACTCTATCCTGGGAAAGTACTTACAAGATGGCTAGGGTGCCCAGCGACGCTGCCCCCACATACCCTCAACTGCCAAAGTTCATTTTAACTGGGGATGTCCCCAGAACACATGTGCCCATCCAAGGGTGCATATCAGTCTATTTTTTATTATAAACAAATAAAGAGTAAATCACGAGCCAAGGGCCTGGACTCCCTCTCTGAGATGCCAAAGACCTAACAACCATTGACATAATTTTAGACAACAACTGTAATTGAAAGCTATTCAAAAAGCATTGAGTAAATATAACCAAACTGACCCAGGAAAGAAGGGGCTGGGCCTGGGGAGCTAGAGCAGGCAAGAATAAGGGTCCAATAAGGGTGGGCCTCTCCCTAAGTTTGGGGAACTTGGCTTTGAAACCTGGGGGTAGGAAGCAGCTGCTGGGAAGTCACCTGTGTTTCTCCTCTGGGGTGGGGCAGCCCAGTCACTGCCAGAGCCACTTGGTGCCCCACCAGCCAAGAGCATGGAAACAAACACACACCATCTGCTTACCCTAATCCTAACCCAAAACTGGGGTAAGGAGCTGGAGAGGGGAACGGAAGAAGGGGACACAGGGCCAGGAGCCCAGGATCAGGGTGCTCATTCAGGCTCTGCAGCCAGGGCCTCTGGAGAAGCCCCTCCTGGTCTGCCAATGGGCACAGACCTCAGAAAGGGGAGTCAATAGGGCTGTGCATGTGGGCTGGAGGTGGCCCAAGTACCAGCCATGCCCTCGTCACAGCAGATCCTGAGAGGAGGTGATGTTCCTTGGATCTAGAGACTGCTGGATCCACTGTCCACCTTCAAGCCTGGGCTCAGACCTATGGTGCCAAGTTGGGCATGAGTGTTTATTTCCCCAGCTTGGGGTCCAGGTGGGGTCTCTGGGGAATGGCTCTGGCCCAAGGCCCCCACCTAAAGGAAAGGCAGCCATAGGCCCAGGCTGGGCTGAGGAGGGGCTGGCAGGTATACGGCAAAATGGCACTCACATAAGACAAGTCTTCCAGGCCCCTGCCCAGGGCCTGCCCTGACACACAGCTGCTGTCAGAGCCACTGGAGCCACTGGCTGATGGGCACTGGGACGAGACCTCTGAGTCCTCAGGAGCTAGGGAGGGAGACTGAGTGAGCTGTCAGCAGGGCAGGCCCAGAACTCAAGCTCTGCCCTCCTAGCTCTGGCTAAGCCCAGACCTACTCAAAGATGGCTGGCTGCTCAGTTCTGCTTCAGCCTCCAGCGCTGCTTCCTCTGGGAAGCTGGTGGGATACAGGGGCCAGCGGAGGCCCAGAAGAGCTGGGTCTCTGTACAGGTGCAGATTGAGGGACCCCAGTACAGAGCAAGAGGCAGGGTCTCCAGGAAGGGAGCTTGAGGCTCCCAGGTAGGGGCTGTCATAGTCAAACGGGGCCACAGCAATGGAGGCCCGAGAGCGAACTGCATAAGAGAGAGGGTCAGGTTGAGACAGGTCAGAGCCCACCTGGGCCAATGTCCCGAGGGGAGTGCAGGCCAGAGCTGACAGAGGTCCATGTTGCCTCCTGCAGCTCTCCTCACCCCCGACCCCTGTAGCCTGCCTGCTACCTCGGCACTTCAGGACGTAGTTGATGGTGCGGTCGCTGATAGCTTCCTTGCTGGGGGCGATGTCTCGGAAGGCCTTGCTCCCCACACCCATGGACACCATCTCAGCCATGCGTACCTCTGGAGTGGAGAGAGAGCATAGATGGGGTCCCTCTGGACATCAGCCTGACCCTCGGGCCTCTATCTATCCCTCCTGTACACCCACCACCCAGCAGATTAACTCTCCTGCGCACTGAGCCTTTGTGGTGCCAGGCTCTCTCCTTGCAACAATCCCGTGGGCAGGTGTCATAATTCCCCTTTTAAAGATGAGACCTCTGATAGTCAAAGAAGTTAATACTGTGTCCACAGTCAGATACAGTGACAGCAGGACTGCCTGACTTTGAAGTTCTTTCCTCTTCACTGGCTGCTGCCAATCCTTGTCCCTGCTCCCAAGCATTTCCAGGTCTCTAGGCCCCCTCTGGGACAATCTAAGCTCTCCAGGGAGGAGAGTGTGGGTTGAAGTAGGGGGCAGGGACCCACCCTTGTTGTGGACGGCCTGCCTCCAGAGCAGGCGAGAGATGTCAGCTGTCCAGGCCTGCTTGGTGGCCAGGCTGGCAGCTTGCAGCACAAAGGTGTCTCTGGCCTTGCGACGGCGGAACCAGATCTCAAAGCGCAGGTTGCTATCCCCACAGCATTCAGTGAGGCCAAGGTCTGCCATCTGTGTTGTTGGGAGAAGGGCTTGGTGAGGCACTGGGGGAGCAGGATGCACAGGGCAGGGTCAGGTGGGCCTACCTTGAAGGAGCGTTTGTAGGCAAATGTGTCAATGCCTGTAGGTCCTCGGCGAGGCTTGCTGAAGAGCAGCAGCTCTTCAAAGAGGAAAACGCGGCGCAGGGACTTGTGGCGCCCAGTACGCACTGTGAACTCATCCTGTCGCACCAGTTGCCCCTGTTCCTTGAGGTTAACCTGCCAATTTGGGGCCCGGTGGGTGCCCAGCCTCGTCTGCCCCCTCCCTTCACACCCATTACAACAGCCCACCATAGCCTGAGATGACTTACATCACAGCCCTGGATGGCATCCATCGCTAGCAGGTCATTGCCATGTCGCAGCTGGAAGCGCACGAGGCTCTGGGCAGCCCGCAGGGCACTCAGCTCCTGTGTGGGCCCCCCACAGGCCCGCACCAGCTCCTGCAGCAGCAATGCATACTTGCTCATGCGCTGGATGGGCTTCAGCAGGTAGGAGGCCAAGTCCATTTGGTCCCCCAGCGCTTGCTGCTTGTCCTACCAGGTAGTGGGGAGACCATCAGGCGGCTTCAAGGTACTCCCTCCATCCCCACCTCCCCTTACAGACTCAGGCTCACCTACCTTGAAGAAGGTGTGACCATAGCTGGTCATCAGGGCATCAGAGCGAGGTTTATTCTTGCTGTAGAGAGCATACATCCCAAACTGCACCCTCTGCAAAGACACATGGCTCAGCTGGGGTGCCAAAGGGCCAGCTCCCAAAGTTTGCCCCCGCCTCCTAGGGCCAGACCACTCTCAGCTTGAGAAGACCAAAAGGTCAACAGACAGTTCCTAGGGAGGCCTCCCCCTGCAGATCCAATTTACCCTGTTTTGAATGAGGGGTGATCTGGCAAGAACAGCACTGTGCAGAGTGGGGCTTGCCCACAGGCCCTCTGGGGATGAAGTCCTGCATCTGGCTCTGCTCCTCCCACAGCTCTGAGAGCATCCCTCTGGTCTCACCTCACCTCACCTCAAACTGCTCCTTCTCTTGCTCACCATACTCAGCTACATTGACCTGACTCTTCCTTGACCACTGGGCCTCTTTCCTGCCCCAGGGCTTTGCACTGCATCTGGATGGAATGCTCTGAGACTCTAGCCCCTCCCTCTGGCCTCAGCTCAAATGTCAGCTCCTCAAAGAGGCCTTGCTAACTGCTCTTGCTAAAGGGGGTACCCCTGCTCCCCACCCCCGTGGCTAACTCACAATCATCCGTCCATCCCGACTATGTTTCTCCTAGCCCCAACTAGAATCTGGAGTTACTTTTTTCACTTTTATGTCTCCTCTACTAAACTAGGAGCACCCTGAGGGGCAGGGACCTTGTAGGTGTCACTTACAGCTGTACCAAGCACAGGGCCTGGCACCAAGCCTGTGCAAAATAGTTCTTTGTTGAGTGTGGCAAAACTCACACTTGTTCAGCTGGGGGCCATGTGGCCTGTGGGGCTTACGTGGCGCAGGAAGGCATAGGCCACCCTGGGTGGGTGCCGTGTGCAGGCTTCCAGCTCACGCAGGAAGAAGTGGCAGTGGAAGTCCCGCAGCTTCTCCAGGTTGCCAAAGAGGTGGGCATGCTGGCCACGGAGGCCCTGGGGCACATCAGGGCGATCCAGCTCAGGGAAGTAGTTCTCTATGGTGTAGTCAAGGGCACGGACATATTCCCGCTCTGTCGCCACCATCTCTGCCAGCACCAGCTGGAGCCTACCAGGTAGTGAAGTCAGGACCAAAGACATCTGCTCTGCCCTGACACTGCCCTCCCTGCCCTGCCCACTGCCTGCACCTGTTGGGGCTCCTGGGGTCAGAGCTGCCTGGTGGAGGCATGGTAGTGGGGGATGACCGGGGCTGGGCACCATCTCCAGCCTCTGGTCCATGGCAGGCAGCCACAATGGCCGCATGGTGGCAGTGGTGGGCAGGCTCTCTGAGACTCTGCCCCAGATTCCGATCAAGGCTGTATGCCTTCCTCAGGGGAGGTACAGAAGGGACCTGGCTGACAGACAGGCTAGCTGTGCTGCCCGTCGGTGGTGGCTTCAGTGCAGCCTCTAGCTTCCGGTCCAGGGCCAGCCAGGTGTCCTGGCACCGTGCCCAGGCCCAGCGGCATTCCTGGCGGATGCCTTCAGACCCCAGCCCTGTGGCCAGAGCCCACATCTTTCGGAAGTGGGCAGGAGGCAAGTCAGGGTGCTTGGTCCAATGCAACTGCAGCCGTTCCAGCACGACCCCCGGGCGCTCCTGCTCCAGCTCTGCCAACACTCGCTGCCCCTCCTCAGCCCATGTCGAGGCCTGCAACACCAAGGCCACACAGGCACTGAAAGAGAATCCCACCGAGACCGCCAAGCCTTCTCCTCTGCCCACTGTCCATCCCCACAGGATGTTGGCCCCAGGCCACATCCCTAGTGGTTAGATTTGGGGGTCAGACTGAAGACAAGGAGAGAGATGCAGCAGAACATCCAGGAAGAGCTCAGGCTGTGGTGGAGCTGGGCAGCCATCCTCTGGCCCCACTGACCACCTGGAGCCAGGGATGCGACCCCTCACCAACCTGCTTGAAGAACTGCAATAGCTTCTCGGCATCTGCCAGCTGCTGCCGCCGCTGGGCCAAAGCCCTAGAAAATTCAGTCAGCTGGGTTTGCAGGGCCAGAAAGTGGGCTCCAGGGGGGCCCAGTTCAGCTGCCTCCCAGCCAGCCAATGGCTGCAGAAACTTCTCCCCTCGCCTGACCTGCTCCTGGAGACAGAGACTAGGCTCAGCCGGCCCCACGCCTGGTAGTCAAGCCCCCAAGCCCAGGTCTTTTCCATGGACATCTACACGTCAAGTGTCTCCTATGATTAAAGACCTTCCCTCCCACTCACTCCCTTCTCTCTCTGCGCCCCTCTCCACAGCCAAACTTCCTGGAGGAACTCTCTGTCCTCACTATCGCCACTTTTTCACCTCATCAGCTCACTCCAACCCCACTTCTGCCCCCCATCCCCTGCACTTCTCAGGCCTCTTCTGACTACTGCTCAGTAACATCCGTTCGTCTGCCAGCTGCCCTGCCCCATCCCCACTCTCCTGATTTTCCTGGTCTTGCTCTGGTGGCTCCTCCTTTTGCTCTGTCCCTCACCTAGGCCGTTAAATGCTGGGACTCCTGAGGACACTCCACTCTCTCTCCCCAGGCAATCTTGTGTCACCACACTTCAAACGTTGCCCACACACCTACATCTCCCAAGTGACCCTCTGTAGCCAGATCTCCCCTCTGAGCTCCAGACCCAAACCCCAAGGGTCTTTCTCTCATTTCCTCGTGGTCATCTGCAAAGCACAAAGACTGGATACATGAAAGCCCTTCCCCAAGAAAGTCCTTGTCTCCTGGTCCCTCTCTCAGGGAACAGCACCCATTCATCCTTATAACCTCTCTCTCTTCTCCCCTCTCTTATGTATCCACCATCAAATCAATTTCTCAACTCCATCTCCTCTGCCACCATCCTGGTCAGAGCAAGTATCATTCCCATCGAGACCATTACCACTGCCCCTTCAATGGACTCTCCACATCCATCTTCCAAGTCACTGTCTTCCCACACATTAGGGTTATCTTCCTAGAACACTGATCTGATTATGTGACTTTCCTGCTTAAATTTTATACTGCTACAGGGCCCAGCAATCTGGCTACTGACCACTTTTTCACCCTTGTTTTACCTCACCTCACCCCACTCTCCCTCCCTCTTATGCTCTGCATTTCAACCTCACTGTCCTTCTTATGCTTCCTCAGGCAAGTAATGCTCCTTCTTACCACAGGATCTTTGCACATGCTATTTGCTCCCTGAGCCTCGAATATCTCTTATCCCCAATTCTCTTCTGCCTGGCTAACCCCCACCTATGCTTCAGCTCTCAACTCAAAGTCACTATCTTGGGGCCAGCCTGGTGGTGCAGCGGTTAAGTGCGCACGTTCCACTTTGGCAGCCCAGGGTTCACTGGTTCGGATCCCGGGTATGGATATGGTACCGCTCATCAAGCCATGCTGTGGCAGGCATCCCACGTATAAAGTAGAGGAAGATGGGCATGGATGTTAGCTCAGGGCCAGTCTTCCTCAGCAAAAAAAAAAAAAAAAAAAAGAGGAGGATTGGCAGATGTTAGCTCAGGGCTGAGCTTCCTCAAAAGAAAAAAAAAAAGTCACTATCTCAAGAAAGCTTGCCCAACATCCCTCTGGGACAGGTCTTTAATAGACACCCAGGTAGAAACACCTGTATTGCTTTTCTTCAGAGTTTTTGCCTTAGTTTACAAACACACATATATTACTTTGAATCTTTGACTACAACTGTTCTTTTCTGCTGGACTGTAAATTCCAAGAGAGCAAAAGATAGATTTGCCTTCACTCACCCTGCATTTCTAGTCCCTGGCAAAGTGCCCCAATGCCTACGGAATAAAGAAGTGACCAAACCCACCTGAGCAACCCGGTCCAGCTCCCGAAAAGGGCCTTGAGCCTGGAGCAGCATGTCCAGTGAGGGCTCCCTTGGCTTCTCAAGTGCTGGCCAGCCCACCTGCTGTAGCCACACTTCAATCTGGAGGGACACAAGCAGGGAAAGGAGAGCTGCTGTGGAGAAGGGGTCATGCTTGAGATTAGGGGTGGGGCCCATCTGGGCAGACAGTTCCCACCTGGTGCAACCCTCCCTCCTGAGCCTCCAGCGTCTGGACCAACTCCAGTGCCTGTACTCGGCGGTTACTCTGCAGGGTCAGTTGGTGTAGCAGTCCATCCACGCGGCCATACAGCTCATCAACCTTGTCCACCGCTGGCCTAGTGCAGGGTACATGGTCTTAGGGCCCCTGCCAGTTGCCTTTCTCCACTCCACCCTGTCCTGGGACCACAATCCTGGCTGGTTCTGAGCCAGCCAGCTGAGCTCTTAGCATGGGAAATAGCAGGCTAGGACAAGATCTGGGAGCTGGACTTGTAACTACCTGTAGTCTGGGCTCAGGGTCACCTCTGGGACCTCCTGCTTCAGCCACGCCAGCTCAAATCCCCCCTGGCACTGTAGCCATGCCAGCTGTGGCGAGTCTAGCACATGCTGCATCAGGACTCGTGCCTGCTGTAGCAGCCGACCGACTTCCTGTGATCAAGGGCAACAGGCAGTGGAGGTGGGCATGGGAGAAAAGGAGTGAGACAGGAAGCATTTGGGGAGGTGTTGGGAGAGGACACTCACCCCAGACTCCATGGGCTGAGGCACAGCCTTCATGCTCTCAATGGCCTCCTGGAGCAGGGCACAAACCACTTGGCAGCTCTGCAGTAGGGCTTCCAGACGCTGCAAGTAGGGTCAGGCATGACCAGAGCAGTGCACAGTGTTGGTCCCAGGTATCCTGGATTCCAAGCCACTGCAGCCAGCTTTGCACTGCCAAGCCAGCCCAGGAGAGGCTCCTCTGCTGGCCAGGTACCCACCCTACGCCCCACCTAGTGCACTGACCATCCGGAAGTCCAGCCAGGCCTGGTGGCAGTAAGGCAGGCCTCCTCCCAGTGAAGTGGGCAGTCCCGTGGTAGAGATGTGGGTCAGCAGGCTCTGATGAGAAGGCAGCTGCTCTAGCTGCAGGAAAAGAAGATGTCATGACCCAGGCCTGGTGGGGACGTGCCCCACTTCCACCCCTGGCCAATATGGCTCAGTACCTGCAGTCCTGAAGGCACTTCCTCAGGCATCTTTCCCACTAGGAGCACCTGGTGCACGGACCCTGGGGCTGCTTCCTGCAAGGAATCTGAGCTCAGCCCTGTCCCCAACCCCACACAAAAGGAATGGGGGAAGGGGTTTACAACCCTATACTCACTTGCAGTTGGTTGAGCCCCCAGAAGAGGGAAGAGCTCGGGGGACAAATTTGGGCATCCACTAGCACAGTCAGTCCCAGGGCCTGTACTTCGGGCCTAAAGGGGCAGGCTTTGGTTCAGTATCTAATTCCCAGGCCCTGCCATCTCCTGGCTCACACCTGTCCCCCAACCTCCTGCCCCCAACCTGGGGATGCTTCGCAGGTAGAGCAGGAGGCGGACGAGTTCATGGCTGCTGCACCTGGGGTGAAGCCAGGCTGGGCTATGGGCACACAGAACCAGCACTGCCCGACCTTCTACATCCCGAGTCCCTGTGGGGAGAGGGCCGTGAACAACCCCCCAGTCAAGTCACCCCGCCTCCACCACCTCTAGTCTCTCCTGCTACCTGGCAGGGCAGCCATGCCACTGGCCAGCAGCTCCCAGGCGAGGTCTTGGGCCAGAAGGTAGTCAGTGGGCTTAGAGAGGCCGGATCCACTGGGGTCTTGGGAAGGGAAATGGCTTGGGTCTGCATTGGGCCACCTATGCAGAGACCCCTCCTCGGACCTTGACTTCAGCCTGAGCAGGGTCAGAGCCCTCCCCAAGTCTTGGCACCCACCTCCAGGCACCCCCCACTCCCTTCCAAGACTTCCCAGCCCAGTCTCCCTTACCTGGCTCCAGCAGCTCTGATGATGTCTCAGATAGAGAGTCTCCAAGGTCCACAGGGTCGCCTTCCAAACCCCTTGGGCCTAAGCCAACTGGCATTACTCTGCCTGTAACTGGGTCCCCTGCCAACCCTCCCCCTTGGCTGGTACTCTTGCCCTGTGCCAGGCTGAGTTGGGAGGACATCGGGCATAGAAGGGTCTCCACTCCAGAGGAGGCTGGTTCCTCTGACTTGACTGAGGAACCTCCTAACGTGCTCTTCTGGCCATCCCCCCACCCACTGGCAGCCATCTGTCCTGGGGGTGACTGGAGTTCCCCAGGCAGGGGGCTACCCTGTAGCCCTTCACCCTGGGCTGCCCCTGCTGGTGGTCTTGGAGGATTGGGGTCCTTAACCTGCATCTGGGGAGCAGGTTCCTCTTCATCCCAGGCATCCCTGAAACTGCATACAGCAAACCTCCAATCGGTAGCATGACCTTGGGAGTCTGGGGACTCACCCCCATCCTCGGAGGATCCTTCCATCACCCTCTCCTTAAGGTTGGGCCGGCTCAGGGCAAGTGGGAGAGGGGCGGGGGCCTCAGTGTGAACTGAGGCCTCAGCTCTTCCAGAAAATGGGCTGAAGACGGTCGGGTAGGACTCGGCGGGCAATGCAGGCAGGACACACTAAGCTATAGGAGGTGCCAGTCTTGGTGCCCGGGCACAGGAGGCGCAGATGCTGCCGCAGTTCAGGCCTGAGCAGAGAGGAGAACAGCAAGGGTCTCTCTTCTGCCTAGGCCGCCCCGACCCGCGCTCCTATGGGCCTCTGCCGGGTGGGCCCCACGCCAGGACCACACTCACCGCCACGCTTTGCGGGCCTACGCTGGTGGGAGGCTCACGGTGGGGACATGCCGCTGCCTCATGCTCGCGCTCAGGCCTGCCCAGCCGGGCCTCGGGTTGGCCCCGAGGACTCGCGCACCCCGCTTCACCCGCCCGCCCCACTAACGTCCCCAGGGCGCGCTGCGGCGATCCGCGAGGCCGGCGACGCCACGCACGCGGAGCCCTCGAACGCAGCGCACCGCCGCCCCGACGGCGGACACAGAGCGCCGCTCGGCGTCCAAGGGCGCCGCCTCCTGGCCGCGTGGGAGGGAAGGCAGGGCGGCAGAGGACGCGGCGCTGTGCCGCCCCCTGGGGGCCGGAGGACGGAGCCACAGCCCACCCGGCCAGCCCCGACGGCAGCCGCCCTGCGCCTAGAGGCGCGGGTCCTCGCAGCGCCCCCTGTCCGCCGCCGCCTCCTCCCCGCGGGTCGGAACGGCTCGACTCCACCCCCTTCCCCCCCACACCCCACGGGCCCCGCTGACTTTGACTCGGCTCCTCAGTCCGCCGGTAGGGGCAGCAACCAACGGCCGGTCCGCCGTGCCCACTCCCCCGGCCTGCCGAAGGGCGCCAGAAGCGATGGCCCGCTAGGGAAGGCGCTGTGGGTGCGCGAGGGTGAGTAAGGCCGTGGGTCCTCCCGGGGGCTGGGGGAAGGGGCTTGCCAGGGCTTCTGCTCTTGAATGCACGCAGTACCGGGGGGGGGGGGGGGGGGGGGGGGGGTGGCCCTGCCCTGCCTTGCCCTGCTCTGCCCTGCCCTGCCCTGCCCAGCCCAGCCTCCCTCAGCAAAACAAAGAACACTCATTCCTCTCAGCCAGGAGGAGAAAAATGTGAGCCCAGGGGCCCAGGAGGCCCCTAAAAAGAGAGACTCGCTAAGCCCGGCCCAGCGGCTTGGGACTGCTGGAAGCCGGTAGGGGTATCTTCATGGACGATGGGAGGGAGGGCCCCTCTATTGCAGTCCCCATCTTCCTTCCAGTCCCCAGGGCCAGGCACCAAGAGACAAGTTGTGTGATCCCATTTTGGGATGGGGGCGCTGCTGACTGGGCTGGAGGGAAGGAGGGAGCAGGGAGGCCTCGGGGGTGGGAGCTGACCCAGGCCTGCCAGAATCTGCCCCTCCACCAGGGCCAGAACCTCCACTCCCTTGCGTTCCTGGCACCTGTTTCACTTACAGTATGGGAGAAGCCCCTCCACAGCCCCACACCACCTCCCCACAAAGCTTAGCCAGGGAGGCTGGGTCTGATGTGGGGTTCCTGGAGCCTGAGAGACACTAATCCAGGCCTGCTCTTCCACTTACCTGTTGGGCGAGCTCTGGTCATTCAGTTCTCTTTGAGCCTCACCTTACTCACCTGTAAAAAAAAAAAAAAAAGAAAAGTCATTCCTTTCTCCTGGGATTGCCATGAGGACAAGGGAAGACTTCATATGTCAAACGTCCACTTGCTGCCAGCACTTGGGCTGTGTTCGTGCCCTGCCCTTCATTTCACCCTCAGTCAGGGCATCCTGAACTGGTGAAAGGCACTTGGATAGTTGGCTTGTGAGATCTCTCCCAGCTCTGAAGTGTGAGGTGGTCCCTTTGGGGTGTGTAGGCCTGACCTGACACTCCCCAAAATTCTTGGGAAGGTTGTAAAAAGGTAGGCTGTGCGGCCAGAAGAAGGCACTGTGCCCCACAACATGCTCAGGCCCTTGGTTCCTGGTGGGGAGGGGGCAGTGGGTGTAATGGCTTCCCTGGCTCTAAGGCAGGCACCTCCTTCATGAGCCCAGGGATGCGGCGGGAGGAGGGAACCTGAGCATCAGAAGTAGTTGTGGTGGGAACAGCAGCAATCCCAGTTGCCACGTCAGCACCCAGAGTCCAGACTCTCAGACCAGCTACTGAGGAGCCTTCTTTATGAGCTGATGTGGAGAGGAGCTTTGGAGTTGTCCTGCTCCATCCCCAACCCCCAGCCAGCCCTCTCTTCCTACCCTCCTCTAGCTTCAGTGAGCATCGGAACCAACCTTGGCTCCCTCCCCAGCTGTCCCAGGGCCGCCCCACTGAGTCACTGCCTCCTGCCCCCTCCCTCTCCTTCTGCTGCCCACTGTCTGCCCACCCCCACCTACCAGCCAGGCTCCCTCGGAGCCCTAAGACCTGGGGGGACCTGCTGGCAGGCACACATACCCTCCAATGCCAGCAGCAAATGAGAGGCTTCAAGCCACAGGCCATAGCTGACCCCAGCACCCCTGGGCACAGGCAGGCAGACAGATTGAGGGGCAGGGCCAGGCCTTGGTTTATTCACTCCACATAGAATGTGCATTGTAAGCTTCATGAAAACAGAGACTGTGTGTTGTCCACTTATGTACTTCCAGCACCCAGCACAGGGCCTGGCACAGAATAAATGCTTAGGGATGCCTGAGACTGTTCACACTACCCTTGCCTCCTGAGGCTCCCCATCCCTGAGCCAGATGTAAACCAGAGTCACAAATGGAGACAGATTCAGAGGCTCAGTCTGAAAGGGACACAGAAAAAGCAGAGATCTGCAGGATACACAGCCCCAGGATGGCAAAGATACAGATTGAAATGGGGACAGACTGAGACCTAGTGGGGAACACTGGAGGCTGGGCCTGGAGCCAGCCTGGGCCGCTGACCACAGCAGGCTCTATGGGCTGAGCTTGCAAAACTGAGCAGTGACTCATGGGGCCCATCTCTGTGGCTGTCCTGGCAGTAAAATCTACTCACAGCAGCCTTTTCCACTGAGATCATAAAATGGGGATGGGCCTCCCTTTCCCACCCCTTCCCCAGCCCTCCCCCAGTCTCCCGTTCTTTGCCAACATGAATCAATCAAAAATAAAATGGGGGCTCTGTACCACAGTGGGCCTAATGATAAGAGACCCATAGTCATTGGCCTTATTCCACCTCAAACCTTGCATACCCTCTTTAGTACTGTCCCAGACAGTGAGGGTGATGAATCCCCCAAACCTTCCAGACCACTCTCAACTTTGGCCTAAATAAACTCCAGACACCTTAGTGTGGCATTTGAGGCCATCCAGAGGCATCACAGCCTTTCTGTTCAGCTCCCAAACTGGCCTAGAAAATTCATCTGATTACAAGTCTTGTCTCAGACTGTCTCCTCTGTCTGGAATGCCTATGCCCATCTTCCCAGGTCAAAATCCTTCCTCCTTCAAGGCCTGGATGCAGTTCAGGTGTCACTGAAGGCCGTTTCTGCCATCCTGCCCAGTCAGGTGGTGACCCATGGATGAGCTGTTGACTTGCTTGTTCTCCTGCATCCCAGGTGCCTGCCTCCCGCGGCTGTGCTCACCTGCTTTCTTTTCCAGTCTGCTCACCTCTGACCAACCCTATCTGCCTGGCAGTCCCACCCACTTCTTAGTTACCCAGCTCCAGTCCCATGAGCCCCTCTCCACCCCCTCCCCCACACCATCAGTTGCCTGTTTGTGTGGATTTGATTTCTACAACCTTTCAAATCTAGTAATTCTTGAAGGATGTGGTCTGTGGGCCACCTCCCTCTGGGGGAGCTGATTAAGATTACAGATTTCTGGGCCCACATAGACCTGAGTCAGAACCTTTTGGGTAGGCCCAGGTATCTACATGTTTGACAAGCTCCCCAGTGATTCTGACACTAAAATCTAAGAATGGCAGCCAGCCCTCTCCAAGACCAGCCCCTTCACATCCCTGGGCGCTGGAGCAGCCTCCCAACAGGTCTTCCATCTCTAGCCTTTCCTTCTCCCAATCCATCCTCCACCTGGGGTTTCTCACATCCTCCATGTGGCACCAGCTACAGTTGAGCTCCCTAAAGCACATCACTGCCCACTCTCCCCAGATCACAATTCTCTTGGGCTGCCTCTCTGCCGCACCCACAATTCACCAGGGTCACTCCACTCAGGCCTTTGTGTCCCTGGCTGATCTTTCTGAGCACATCACTCACTGCTCCTTGCCTTTCTATATGTTTGTTCTAGGCATCTTCTGTTTATGCTGCGCTTTCTACCTGGAATGCACCCACCCAACTTTGCCCGTGTTGTCTGAGCCCCTACACACACACACACACACTCACACACTCACATGCATGGTGACTTCTCCCAAAGCCTTCCCAGATCTGCTCAAGGCCCCACAGCACTTGCTGTGCCCTTTGCCTTGTAGTATAAGACCAAAATTGACAAATATTTATGATCCCTTACTGTGGGTCAGGCTCTGTACTAGAGTCTTCTCATTTTATCATGTAATCCTGACAGCAACATTATGAAATAAGTATGATTGTTATCCCATTTTAGAGATGAAGACACTGAAGCTCAAAGAGAGTGTGTAACATGCCTAAAGTGTCATTCTGGTAAGTGACAACTGGGACTGTTAACTACTAGGCCTTATCACTACCAACTGTAAACAACTTAAGGGCAAAGCCTAAGTCACTCTTCCTCCTCTTTACACTCTCTGCATGTGCATAACATTGAAACAGTAGATGTTTGTTGACCAGATTTTTAACCTTTGCAGTGTGTCAAGTCTTTCAGACCTATAGAGACAGAAAGTAGGTTAGTGATTACCTAGAGCTAGGCAGGGGATGAGGAGTGACTGCTAATGGGTCCAGGGTTTCTTTAGGGGATGATGAAAATGTTCTAAACTTAGATTGTGGTGAGGGTTGCAGAACTCTGTGAATATATTAAAAACCAGTGAACTGTACATTTTAAACGGGCCAATTTTATGGTTAAATTTTATGGTATGTATGTGATATCTCAATAAAGAAAGATATATTTTTAAAAAGTCCTTCAGACACAGTGGGAATCAAATCTGGGACTGCTATTATCAGGGATTTCTATCCCTAGATGTTTCCGGACCCCATGTTACCTGATTTGTGTCATAAACACTCAGGGTAACCAGCTCCCTTGAGATTGTCCTCACACCCGCCATGTGCAAAACACTTTGGTTCATGTGTCCTACACCTGCCTCCAGGTTTTCAAGGAAGGACATCCGGTCCCGATGTGTAGTAGCTGCATCTTTGGGCAACATTGCATGTGACTTCTGGGGTCTCTTTCCCTGCTGGCCTTCCCCATTTTGTGGACTCCCAGTTCTGTGACGCTGTGCCCCTGGACTGTCACTGCAGGCCCCCTGTGAGGGAACTATATTGGGAAGGTATGGGTGAGGAGGAAGGGCCAGAAGGCCTAACAGTCCTTCCCAGGATCCCCCCTCCATTCTCTATCCATAAAGCCCTGGGGCAGGCAGTTGGAAGTTTCCATTTCCCTCACCAGATGTCCCTGTTGCCTCCCCAAAAAACCTCCAGACACATGGACACAGGACACTCATCCATCCAAGAGATGTTTAATGTATCTTAGGTACAAGGTACAAAACACAGGTGCACCTGCTAACCCCAGGAAAGTCACCTGCCACCCAGTCAGCCCCCTTACCACTGCAGCCAGGCATCCCAGCTCCCAGAGCAGTGGAGCAGTGGCCCTAGGATACCTGGTTCCTTCCCTGTTTGGGGAATGTCAAAGTGGTAACATGGGAGCCCAGAGGCCTTTGTCTCCTTCCTCAGAAAACCCAGACCCAAGGATCTGAAAGACAAGACCCAGACTTGCACTCAGAGCAGCAGAGCCCGAGTGACCCTGGCTAAGAAGCAACCCTGATCTGAAGGTTGGCCCAGTCCTGCAGCCTTGGTCCTGGAAAAGAAGGAACTATCCCCCCAATAACTGTCAGGAAAGGGAAGGAGATAAAGCAAGTGTAGACAGATTCCTACTGCCCTAAAAAAAACTGGCTATGGATAGCTGACCCAACAGGGTAGCAAAGCCCAAGGTTGAGGCCTGCTCACCTCCTACCCCAATCCCTCTGAGAACCAGCCCCTTGAGGAGCCTCATTGCACTGTCCTTGAGCTGGTGCTGGGGAGGATGTGGAGGGCAGGAAAAGCCAGCATCAGCTGAGGAATGATGTCTTTGCTTTGGGGGCAAGAACAGCTGCCTAGTGACCCCAGGAGGCCCCACTGGGAAAGGGGCATCAGCTACCCAAGTCTCTAGGACTAGCCCCTAGAAGCTCTGGACTGGGTCTTGAGCCAGGGTGACGGCCTTACTGAAAGGGAAGGTGGCAGGAGTTAGGAAAAGGGTCCCTCTGAGGACCAGCCCAGGAGACCCTCGGACCCACCCCAAGGGAGCCCAGTTGCTACTTCAGTCCAGGCCCCTCTGACCCCATGTCAGGTTGAGTGGGCTCCTCTGCCCATTGCTCAGGGAACACTTCCCACAGGGGCTCCGGCCTCCTGCTCCTCCCCAAGTCCCTGGGCTACAGCCGGCCACCTCTGTTGAACTGGATACACCAGTGGGAATTGGCGGTGCCTGGGCTAAGATGGGTGTGGTCCTCATGTCCCATGAGGGGCTGCAGCTCCTGCTGCCGGGGGATGTCAGCGCTGCTCTCACTGCGAGAACGGCCAGCCTTGGCCAGGCTGGGGGGAAAGGCAAAGCTAGGGTGTGGAACGGAAGGCAGGTCGAGAGGGGCCTGGGGCTCTTCAGCAGCCAGTGGGTGGGGAGGCAGGCGGTTCATAGTCGGGGCCTGAGTACAAGGCGGGGAGGCCAGGCTCTCCAGGGACGAGATGCTCTGGTTCCAGCCTGTCTGCATATCCACGGGCACAATCTTGGTGGTTTCTGAGGACACGTAGACTGCCAGGTCCCCCTGCCCACTCTTCCAGGGTAGCTCCTTCTCTGCACAGGTTGGGGAGGGGGGGATGACGCGTGGACTTGGGCACACCTCAAGGCTCCCTGAGGACAAGAGAGTACACACGTGCTCGTTACCAACACAGTGGAATCCTTCTTGAACTTAAGCACACGTTCATAAATAAATTCATTCCACAGTTGCCATATTACATTCCTTTGTGCAATTATTTGATGAACACCCTGCCGAGGAGAAGCGCCACAACTGGTTTTGCTCCCTGTTGTATCCCCAGCACCTAGCACAGGGCTAGGCACACAGTAGTTGCTCAAGAAATATCTATTGAACAGTTGAAAATAACGAAAGCAAATGTGAGGCAGGAAAAACCCCATCTGCGATCAGCCCTCACCTGACTTGACTTGCAGCACCAGTCTCGGAAACCACATCCTGCCAAGCCCCATCCCAGGGTGATACGGCAGTGGGGTGAGGAAGATCTCGAGGCTCCACGCCAAAGGCTTTGCTGCTGGGCACCTTGCCCAAGCACCCACCACAGCCCTTTGGTGGGACAGAGCCCGGGAGCATGAGCTCATGCAAACCTAATAGCAGGCTAAAGCTGTGCCGCAAAGGGGATGCCACAGCACAGAGGACATGAGCCGAAAATCCCCATACTGCTGGCAGCCAGGATGGAAGGCTCAGCCGCTGCATGACAGGAAGTCTGAGGTCCTGAAAGAGGAAACCTAGGAAGGAGAAGCCCTCTGGCCACCTACCACTCCCTGCTCTCCAAAGTCTAGCACAACGCCTTGCATAGTCTAGGTGCTCAGTGTGTATCTGCTCGTTGATAAAGTCCTGAGCAGTCCAATAAACGTGACTGAGTACATTATGAAATGTATGGATGCTGCGATGGGAAGTAAAACTACCTCTCTTGAAAGACCTGGAATATTAAACTTTAACTACTACAACAAAAACTAAAATAACAAGAAACTTCAGTGTTCACCTTTAGAGCATGCTAGGGAACTAATTCATTAGTCTGAAAACTGCTAAGTAAAAGGTGAAAGTCCAGCATTTATCCATTCTTTCCTGTATGAACTGTAGCTCTAAGTAACTAGTTGATGAGGGGAAGTTCTTTTTATAGAAGAATTCTTCCTAATAAATGCAGACAAAAAATTGATGTAAAAATCACCATTGTGCAACCCCTGATGAAATGCTGGATCTGGCAGAGATCATCAATGGCTGCGAGGACCATTTGAGGGAAAGTTGTTGGGGAACCTGATAATGAATGCATCAGGCTAACAACATCTGAACCCAGGGGTCAATGTTAACCTCACAAAAGAGAGACAAACAGATGGTATGTGCTTCCTGATTTGACACAACAGGAAGTACACCATCACCATCTATGAAGTCTTCTTACCAAGAAGTTAAACTGAAATCTGATCTAGATTTAATAACCTGTTTAAAGGTAATATAAGGGACAGAGAAACATTAAGTGACACTTTGGGAATGCAGTCAGCAAAATCTAGACAAGGAAGGACAAGGTTATTTCAATAAATACATTGCAAGGAAAAAAAGCAGGAGGCGGGGACCACGGACAAGTTGGAACAGGTACTTTGTTGTGGGGGCTGTCATGTGCAATGTTTAGCAGCATCCTGGCCTCTACTCGTTCAGTGCAACTGCACCCCTCCAGTTGTGGCAACCGAAAATGTCTCCAGACATTGCCACATGTCCCCTGGGGCACAAAATCACTCCACCACCCCCTTGAGAACCACTGCTCCTATAGGTTAAAAGAGACATCAACCAAATGCCATATGTGGGCCTTGTCTGGATTTTGTATCTGTGTGTGTGAAGAAGATTGGCTCTGAGCTAACATCTGTTGGCAACCTTCCCCTTTTTGCCTGAGGAAGCTTGTCACTGAGCTAACACCTGTGCCAGTCTTCCAATATTTTGTACATGGGATGCCGCCACAACGTGGCTTGATGAGCAGTTTGTAGGTCTGTGCCTTGGATCTGAGTGTGCAAACCTTGGGCCCCCAAAGCGGAGCATGTGAATTTAACCACTTCACCACTGGGCCAGCCCCTCTTTGTCTAGATTTTTATTTGAACAAACCTACTATATTAAAAAAAATTAAGACAATCAGGGAAATTTGAACACTGGTTATTTGATGACAAAGATTTTAAAAATGATAATGGTATTATGGCTATATTTCTTACCGAAGAATCCTTATCTTTTCGAGATACATGCTGAAGTACTTAATTGATAAAGTGATATGATATCTGAGATTTGCTCCAAAAGAACCCAGTGAAGAGAGAGGCATAGATAAGGGTATAGATGAAATAAGATTGGTTAGGAGAAGGTGATTATTGAAGCTAAGTAATGGTGGGGAGTTTATTTTACTATTCCGTCTACTACATATTTTGAAATTTTCTATAATAAAACATTTTAAAAAGACACCTGAGGGTGCCTGAGCCAACTAGCAGTGATATTTAGCATTATGAGTGAGTTAGGTCTCCACATATGGAAACATATATATACTGCTTTTTATCCACAGTAATGCCACTTTGATGACTCCTTACCCAGGTCAAGTTGCCACCCTCACCAGGGGCTCTACCTGGGCAGCTGTGCTAAGCACGGGTTGCAACAGACCCTGGTGTTAGGTTTGCTTGTCACCTCATTTTCCTCGCCAGACTGTAAAGGGAGGCAGCGAGGCAGTGAAAAGGCTGTGGGCTTTGGAGTCAGGTGGGTCAGATTCAAATTCTGGTTCTGCTGTGGGATGCTGGATAAGTCCTAAGTCCCTATGCTGTATGAGCTCACTCTCCCTATCTTGGTGGTTGTGAGGGTTGAATCAGATCATGTATGTCAGGTGTCTGATATAAAGGAATGCTCAGTAAATGCTGGTTGGTGAATAAATTAGTGAACAGGAAAAGGGAGTTGTCTGGAGTAGAGGCCATGAGTGAAGCGAGAAGAAGCCAACTGCACAGCTCCAGCTTGCTCCAGAGGGGAGGGAAGCTGGGAGGAAGCCATTACCTGAGACCTTGCCCTCTTGAAGAACCTCACTGGTGGCGCGGGCCACAAAGATGATCCCCTCGTCGTCCTCCTTCTCTGTCTCTGAACTGTCACTCTCCTCCTCTTCCTCAGACTCCACGGTTAAGATCACAGCAGCTGGACAGGGACAAGAACTGAGTGGGGGTGGCTAGCCCAGCAGCTGCCCTAAGCCAGCTCCCTGTCCACCCAGGCAGAGCCCGTGGTTGGCAGAGGCACCTGCTTGCTTCTCTGGCCATTTCAGCACTGGCCTAGGGAGTTGGGGGCTTGAGAGGAAGGGAAGTGAGACTCAGAGCCCAAGGAGGCAACCAGGGAAAGCAGAATCCTCAGAGGAAGCCATGAGGGAAGTCACGCTTTCCAGATCCCCCATTCTCTTCTCAGCCCCAGATCCCATCATCAACTGAAAACACAAGCGTTTGGAGAGCTGGAAGGCCCATCAACGTTTAGCTCATCCAAACTCCTGGTTTGCAGACGGGACACCAGTCCCCAGGGTCCACCCTCCTTCAAGGCCAAGACCAAGCTTCCCCTTCTCCATGACACCTTCCCCAAGTCCTCAGAGCTTATAACCTGCAGTTAGCTATCAGATGCCTCCTGTCACAAACTGTCTAATAACTACTTAGAACATGTCCAGCTTTGAAATCAAGTGTGCCCATCTAGTCCCTGAGGGGAAGAGCCCCAGCTCACAGCACTGAATGCAGCACAGAGGAGGTCCTTCGGGACTCTGGCTGGTGGGCCCCACCCTGCCCTCCCCCTCCCATCCTCTACCCTACCCCCACTCCCTGCTTGCCTGTGTCCTGAAAGCCCGGGTCTCGAGGAGGTTTCCCATTTGTAGTCTCAGTGTTAGCCACGCTATCCTTCTGAAGACCAAAAGAAAAACCCTAAGCCTCTGGCCCTGGCTCCAAACTCCAACCCTGTCATCTGGTAGGGTCAACAGGAGGACAAGTCTTCATAATGTAGCAGGGGAGACAATCTGTGTCAATCCCAATGGTTACTATCCCTTGGCCCCTCAGGAAAGTGTGGAGTCAGTAACCCACACTGCAGCAAGGACTCTCACTCCATCAGCCTAGGCTGAATTAGGGGCTCATGGAATTGCACAGCAACCTTCGCCCCAAGTAATCTGCCTTTCTCCTGCTTGTTTCACCTCTGGTAGGAGGACCTGCTCTTTCCCAGCAGGTAACCACATGGTCAAGAGGCTGATCTCCCTCTAAAGGCCTCACCTTATACTTCTGGGGCTCCAGGAAGATGCAAGAGGGAACCCAACTGCTGCAGCCACCAAGGTCCTGAGGATTATCCAACTAAGGGTCCCCTTGGGCTGGATTCCAACACTTGGGGGCTCAAAACTGCATGCTGTCAGCCTCCAGCCCCAAACAGGAGTCCCAGAGAAAGCAAAGCACGTGCCTTCTTGCGGCCAGCCTTGCGGGGTCGTGGCTTGCTCTTGGTGAAGCAGATGTTGTGCTTGGTGGACTTGAAGGACTCCAGCCGCCGCTTCATGTTCTGCTGGAAGATCTCCTTGTCCTGCCGCTCCTGCGCATCCTCCGAGATGAAGTGGCGGCTGCAACTGGCTTTGTACTGGCAATGACAGCCCACCCTGCCATGAGACTGGTGCCTGCCTCCTACAGGAACCCCAGGCCACAGCCCCAACATGTTCACCATAGGCCCTGCCAGCCCAGTTTTTCCAGAACTAGCCATGGATTAAAAAAAAAAAAAATACCATAGGAACCCAGCCAAACACAGTGTATTCTCAGTTCACTGGGGAAAAACTTTATCCCAGAATTTATCCCCTCAAATCTGGCTTTCCCTATCTCCTACTGCCCTCTCCCAAATCTCCTCTGATTTGAAGTAACAAGGGGCAGGGGACTCTGTCTCTTGTCCCTTGGGACTACTATGAGATGATGGGAGACATTTCCTTCTTTGCACCTGCATTTATCTGAGCCTGGCCCACACACCTGGCCCACCTTCCCCCTTCTAGCTACTCAGGACTCTCTCCAGCTGGCCAATTCTAAACCACCATGACACCTCGGGGTGCACTTTAGACTTCCATAATCATGACACCTTGGACCCTCTTGGTCCCAACAACTACCTGTGCCTAGTTCAGGACCACCCCATCATCTGTCCCTTCCAACTTTCTCATAAAGACCAAGCCCGCTACACAGCTTAGACTGCCTCCCTCTCTGCCCTCGGCTAGTTGGCAGCCTTTTCATTATCTACTGCTAATCCCCCAAAGTTTACCAGCGTGTTGCAAGTCAGCTTGTCTGCACCACATCCCCAGTCTGGTTCCTTTCCTATACCTCATATTCCCTGCTTCCCTGAACCAGTTCTAAGAGCTCCCTTCAAGTCTCCCATCTGCCCTCCTCCACCTACTCACCCAGAGGTACTCCTCTCTCCTGGGTGAAGGGGTCCAGCTCCTTCACAGGGCTCATCACTCCCCAACCCAGGCCTCCTCTTTGCTCAGCACACTCCTTGCTGCCTCCATCAGTTCCCAGCTCCTCTTGTTTCTCCACTCTCCTGCATCTTCAATCCTTCCCTCGCCACTGGCCCCTTCCCCTCTGCTTTTAAGTATGCTCCCTCCCTTACCTCCTTGAAGAAAGCCATTCCATTGATGCCATTGTCACCCGTTTGCTACCAAACTCTTATACTTTGATCCTGACACTTTCCCTCATACCCATTACTTCCTTAAATATCAGAAATACAACTCCAGGGTCCGCAGCTCCACAGCGCTGCCTTCTTCGCGGTCACCAGTGCCATGGCCTCTGGTTAAGCACTCGCCTGACCTCTGTGCAGCATCCAGCCCTCCAGGACACCCTCTGCTACTGCTCCTCCAAAGTTTCCTTCTTTCTTCTCCTTTGCTGATTCCCTTTCCTTTTCTTGCATGTACACTCCTCACAGTGTTGTCCTTGGCGCTCCTCTCTCACCTCTGAATGCTCTCTCCAGTGAACTTATCCATTCTGTCAGCTTCAGCTAGCCCAGCGATAGAGATCTCTGGTTCCCAAACACTAGCCATCAGAGCAGCTGCATTTGAATCACCTGGGGCTTAATTTAGAGCACAGACTCTTCAAACCATTCCACACTACAGAATCAGAATCTCCAGGAGGTGAAGCCAGGAATATGTATTCTAGCAAGCTCCCCGGGGGATTCAGATGTAGCCAGGTAAGGAAACCTCTGCTGTAGATTTCTTCCAAATCTCTACTTCAGCCCTTCTCTCTCTCTTAAGCTATAAACTTATATTTCTGGCCCACACACCTGGCCCACCTTCCCCCTTCTAGCTACTCAGGACTCTCTCCAGCTGGCCATTTCTAAACCACCCTGACACCTCGGGGTGCACTTTAGACTTCCATAATCATGACACCTTCTGTCTCCCTCTCTAATGATATTTCTGTGAAGAACATGAGGAGTTATGGTATAATTAAGTGGATTTAGAACTAGTTGAGTAACCATACCCCAAAAATGCTTGATCCATGTCAGTCTGGAGGAAAGTCTTTAGTAGCATGCCACAGGGCTCTGTCCTCAGCTCTATCCTGTTCAACATTTTTATGTTGATGTGGATGAATACAAAGTTAATAGGCTTAGCAAATTTTCATAGGATGTGAATCTGAGGAGATATTTGGTGGCAGACAAAGGATCCAAACGATGGAATGATGGGCTAAATCAAATAAGATGACATTTAACAGGGATAAGCACAATCTTATTCCAGGTTTTTTTTGATTGACTACACAAGAACTAGTTGGACTGAACCCACTGACCAATCTTACACACACAAATCCATAGACAACCAGTCACTGTGAACATCCTGATGTCACACAATAAGAAACACATAGCATACCTACTGAATGCTCCTGAATCTGACCAGGCCTTTAGACTTAACTGCCACAAAATATGAGGGATGGAGGGACATATTAATTTACCACCACTGGAATGCAATCAGCAGAATCTATAGATGGGAAATTCTCTGAGACAAAGTATCCAGTTTCTTCAATAAATAAATAACAAGGGGAAAAAAGGAGGGAGAAGGAAATGTTACAGTTTTTTTTTAATAAAGAGACATATTTACCAAATGCAAAGAGTGGACTTTATTTGGATCTTAATTTAAACAAACCATCTGGAAAAAGATATTTATGAACATTGGATATTTGATGTAGAAGGAATTATTGTTATTTGTTGTGATAATGGTAATATATATTTGTTTTTTAAGAGTTCTTACCACATAGAGATACATACTGAAATATTTAGAGATGATATGATATGATATCTGGAGTTTGCTTTAAAATTAAAGTGTGGATGGGTATAGTGGGGGTACAGAATATAACAAGATTAACCATGCATTGATAATTATTGGAGCTGGGTGATGGATAAATGAGAGTTATTTTATTCTCTAGTTTTGTGAATGAGTGAAAATTTTCCTTAAGAAAAAAGTAAACAAAACAAAATGAGAAACCCACAGGTTGGATGAGACAGGGTTTAACAGCCATTAACTGAGGGAGACATGGGGGTTTGCCTGATTGTAAGGACAATATGGGGCCTCAGGGTGGTGAGGACCAAAGCTGGAGGGATTCTGGGCTGTGGGAAGAGAATGGCAAGTTCTAGAACTACAAAGGTGAGAGAGCCCCTCTGCCCTGCCCTGGCCTACCACAACTAGAGTAGCACCTTCCATTCTAGGCCTCATTTCTTATGACCCAGAGAAGACACACCAGGGAGAGGAAATGCTGGCCTGAGGGCAGGGAGGCCTGTATGAAAGGGAGCTGTCTTGAAACCCTTGAAGACTTATTCTGCAGAGCTGCAGAGAGTCAAATCAGGACCGGTGGGAGCAAGTTAAAGGAAACCAATTCTGTCTCAACAGTATAAACAGCCTTGACTGTTAAAACTGCCAGGAATAGTAATTCCTGGCTTCCCGTTTCAGAAAGATTCAAAGTAATGGCTTGCTGCCCCCTTGTGGGGTTGCAACAGATTCCTTCCTGGATGGGCTGGGCCTCGCCAGCCCCAAAGCTTGGTGACCTGCATTGGACTAACTCACATTACCTAAAACAGATGTCTGCTTTCTCCACCCTAAGCTGGTCCACAGGCATCCTCAGAAGCACTCCTGCTTCTGTCTGTGACCCCATCAAGCCCTCTGGACTCTGTCTGCTCTTCTCCCCTTCACGGCCAATCGCCCAGTCTATGTGCTCCTCTCCCTTCCCACCACCCAGCTCTAAACCACAGTGCTTCACTCTGTCTTCCCAAGTGGCTCTCCTAGCCTCTCAACTAACCTCTCCAATTTGATCTGCACTCTGCTACCAGAAAAGACATCTTTAAACAGTGCTTGCAGCAGGCCAACCCTTTCTCAAAAAAAAAAAAAGCTAAACGTTATTACTGACAAGATAAAGCCCACACTCTTTAACTAGGCATGTATTGCTTTCCACAAGCTGGTGCCAACTGCACCTTGAACTGTGATCATGGCCTCCCCAGACCACCCCACACTCCCCCTTGGAACTCCTATGTTCTGCTTGCTCTCACCCTGCGGCGTGGCTTGTAGAGGCCTCCACAGAGCAGATGGTGCATCACAGCATCCTCACGGTCCCGGCCACTGCGTACTGTGTCAATCACCTGCAGATCCAGACACGCTCCACTGCCACTCTCCCTCCTGCAGGATGCAAGAAACATGTATACTGGGGAGGGGCCAGGAGGCACAGGCCAGGGGAAGGGCAGAAGCAAAGGTGCTCACAAATCCTCCCCAGAAGGGATAGAAAGAGAGGGCCCAACAGAGAGGAGCTTCAGGAAGGGGAAGGGGGCTGAAGGACTTACAGCAGGTTAGTGACAGAGGTCTCTGCCATAGAATTGCGGCTGGGCATAGAGGGCAGAGTGAGCCCTGTAGAGGACAAGACGTGGCCCCCCTGCAGGAGCCAAGACAGAGGTCAGACAGCAATCAGATAGACGGCAGCCCGGATAGTCAGAGGGTAATAAAAAGATTAACAATAGTTAACACTTATTTTGCTCTTTTCATGTTCCGGGTACTATACCAGGCACTTTACATACTGAATCCACAAAACTGTGACATATGTATTCCTATTCCTGCTTTCTTACAGTTGAGGAAACCGAGGCTCAGAGAGGATAAGTGGCTTAACCAAGGTCACAAGCCTATACATGATAAGAATTAAACCACATCTGTTGACTCCAGAGTCCAGCTGTCTCCCCACCTTTCTGTCCTGCCTACCAGACTCTGAATGTCGGCCTCAGGCCAGGCTGGTTCCTGCAGCTGTCACTTCACAAGACCATGGAGTCTGCTGGGAATTCTCAAATCCCTGCTCAGGGCCTGCCTGCTTGTTGCCCCTTCATGCCCTGCTGGCCACCTGCCCACCCACCACTGGCTGCTGACCCACCTGGTCCACAAAGCTGATGGCATCCCGGATGTTGAGTCTGTAGTACACATCCCAGATCTGGTCCCGGATGCGGTAGGCTGACCGCCGCATCAGCAGCTGACTCAGGTACTTCTTGTCAAACTGCTCCCACCTACAGAGGATGCCAGGCCCGGCCCTGAGTGCCATCTCCAAGGCTCAGCTGGCTGGCCCTTCCTCAGACAGGGCAGGGGCACCACCAACACTAGCCTGGCTCTCTTGGTATAGGCCTCAGCCCGGGAGAACTTGAAGCTAGTCCCTGCCCTTATGGAATTTACAGTGTTATGAGAAAGCCTGACATTAACTGAAGTTATTAAAAATAACTGTAAAATTGCAACCATGACAAGAACTACAATGGATAATTATGGAGTATGATAGGGATTTGTCCTAGTCAGGGAGATGAGGGAAGTCCTCCCTAAAAACTTGATGCCAATGGCGAGATCTGAAGGATGAACAGAGGTTAAGTAGGTGAGAGGGAGGTGAGGGAGTGTTCTAGTAGAGAGAACAACAAAGGTCCCAGTGGCCCAGGCAGGAGGGAGCATGGTGGGTCCTGAGGTTCTAAACCAGGGTCCATGTAATTAACAGGGAGACAGTCAAAGACAGAGCAGAGCACAATGAGGCTGGAGTCTGGCAGGTACCAGATCATGCAGGGCTGGGCAGGCCTCACTGGGGAGCCTTGTCTTATCCTGAGAGTACTGGGATGCCACTGAAGGGCTTCAGGCAGAGGTCGCCCAGCCTGAGTCTGGCTGTGTCCCTTCTCAGAAGTGTGGTACATCCCCCATGCTGCCCTGGCTGGTGGGGCTGCTGCTGCTGAAGGAGCCTCGGGGCAGCTCCCTCACCTGTCCCTCCAGTAGTGATAGCCATGGTGCCCCACAACGTCCTCCACTGCAGCCAGAATGTGGTCAAAAGTCTAGAAGGGGGGTGGGTAGGGGGACTGGATCAGGACTCTGCTCAAAATAGGAGAAGGGAGAGAGGGACTGGTGGAGGGATGGGGTTCTGGTACCCACGTGCTCATGCAGCTCCTGGTTCAGGGTGGGTTTGTGATGCTCACTCCTCTTCACCTTCAGCCACTTGACCAGTGGCTTGATGGTCAGACCCTATGGACAGGCAGCAGGTGAGCCCTGCCCTATCCAGTTCCCTGCTGCCTTTATCTCTCCATAATTAGGCCTCAGCTTCTGTACCCCCACCTCACTACACTCAAGGTCTGGGAAGTCAGGCCCATGTGTCCCCCAAGAGGAAGAGGAGTCCCTGTCCCATAGGCTCCAAGCTTCTCCCAGGGCCTGCTGGACCCTCTCCCCACCCAGCCTTGTGAGCACTCCCACCTGCACAATGACTGTGAAGAAGACCACCACAATAGTGGTGGCCACAAAGTAGTCCTTGGCAGGGACCTTGGTCCTGTCCAGTAGGATGACGAGAGCGAAGGCCACAGCCCCCCGCAGACCCCCATAGGACATCACCACCTGGTCAATCTTGTCCAGAGGGACCAGCCGGAACTGATTCAGCACCCACGTCTGCAGGACTACGCCTACAGCAGGAGGGAGGCCAGAAGGAGCAGGGCGTTGGGAGTAGAGGGCACTGGGAGTGGATGGCACCAGATATCTGGGCTAAGGTCTGACAGGGTCTGGGATGGGTGAGCAACAACGGGAGGCTTAGGGATTGACAAGGTTGTGGACTCAGGTTGGGGGATGAGTTGACAGGGGGAGGAGGGCAGGAAAGAGAGTGGGAAAGCAGAGGGTGCCAGCGATACCGAGGGCTCGGAAGAACAGGATGAAGAAGAGGGTGCCCAGCACCAGCCCAGAATCCCAGGCCCACTTAGAAGAGTCCACGGCTGAGATGCCAAGCAGCATGAAGATGACAGTCTCAGCGCAGCTGGCTAGAGTCTTCATTGTGTATTTGACAGCTGTGCGTGACTTATGGGAGATGTTGGCCTCCACATACTTCTTACAGCCAAGGCCACACATAGTCACCCTGGGAGAGAAATGGAGAGACAGGGCAAGTGAGGAGGGGTGGCAGGAGGCACAGCCTCTGGCATTTAAGCATGCTGCAGGAGAGGATGTTGCCCATCACAGGATGTCAGACTCTTAGAGCTGAAGCCCAGGGAGGCATGGAGACTGTCCAAGGATAGGTAGTGGTGGTCCTGGGATAAAGGTCCAAATCTCCAGGCTTCCCACTCATTGCCTCTTGGAAGGGAAGGTGGGAGAAACATGCTCTGACTAGCATACTCTCTGAGGCACCTTTTGGAGTGCTGTGGCCACCACAGCCAGTGGCACCAGGCCTTGAAATCTACTTCCAGCTCAGCCCATACCCCAGAGAACACTTCAGGCAGAGGAAGATTGGGTTCTGGGGTACCCAGGACAGTTCTAGAGGCAGATCCTAGGACACTACCATGTTCCATGAGATTTAATGTCTCCCCATGGAGTTTGAGGCTCCCACTACCACAAGGGTTCAGGGAAACCTATGGATTCCTCAGGGTCCTGCTTCTGTCCATGCGAGGAGCAACCATCTCCAGTACCCCCTCCCAGCTGCCTGCCTGCAAGGGCCCCAGGACTCACGCAAGAATGGCAGAGAGCGAGGCCATTTCAGCAGTGAGGTAGGCTGCGTAGGCGAGGAGGAAGACCAGCAGTGGCTCGATGATGCGGACCCGCTTGGTGAAGCGTGTGGTCAGGGCCAGGAGGAAGGCAAAGACTAAGCCCACGGCTGCCCCGCCCAGACTGACCACAAACAGGGAGGCTGGGGGAGGAGTTGGTTGTCAGCATAACCCCTGGCCCGGACCATACCCAGGCTGACAAGACTGCTTCCTGGCAGGGAGTGGAGGATAATGCCCACCACACTCCCCGGGGGTCAGGATGCCAGAGCCAGGACCCCAGGAAAGCCCCTCCTTCTCAGGTTCTCAGGGCCCCATTTCTCCATAGAGGAAGAAAGGGAATGAGGCAACCCAAACAGCCTCCTCTGTCCTGATGCAGTGGTGGGGCAGGGACTCAGCAACCTAGGGAAGGGAGACCTCCAGTGCCAGCCAAGAGCGGGGAAATACTGACCGACTCCCTTCAGGTAGTCAGTGGCCTGTACTTTGGCAGAGCCCATCTCCACAAAGGAGTTGCAGACCTTGTACAGCACCTGAGGGAGAAGAGGAGAGTCAGGAGTGGGGGGGACGGCAGCAACGGGGACTGCTGGGTGAAAGCTGAGACCATATTTCTTCCCCAGGGGACCTGGGGAAGGGTCTGAGCCTGCTGGTCAGACCATGGCAGCCTGGGGTCAGGGAGTGGCAGGCAGCTGAGCACTCTCACCACGGTGACTGCATCATTGAGCAGGGACTCGCCAAAGACGATGATAAAGAGAGTCTCGTTGACATGCACCTCCTCAAAGACAGCCAACACAGCCACAGGGTCCACTGCTGAGATGAGGCTCCCAAACAGCAGGAAGTCCAGCAAGCCAGCCTGCACTCTAGTGGCTTTCAAGGGAGAGATGGGGACAGTAATTGGTGAGGCTCCTACAGCGTTCCCTGCGACAAGCCCAGACTCCACCCCAACTGTTAAAACAAGGATGCCCAGAGAGGACTTGGGATGGTGAAGAGAGAGTAGGCCTGAAGGTCAGGAGACTTGAGCCCAAGGCCTGGCTTTGCTGTTTTCCAGCTCTATGATGTTGGTGCTATCATTGTCACATGACTCCTCTTAAGCCATGCTTCCTCATCTGTCTATCTCACAAGATGGCTGCAAAAATCAACCCAGGAGATGGTTAAGAGAGTTCTATGTAACCTAGAAAGCTAAGGTGGCACTGACAATAAAAACTACAGCAACACTAGCAATAATCACCAGGAGGTGGAAACTGGCTGCTGACTGGCTTTATTAGGGAGAAGAACAAAAGAGAGCACTTTCTCCCACACTCCTGGTTCTCAGCTTAAGGGATATGACACTCACAATTCTCAGCAGGAGGGGGAAGGGCTATCCATCTATGAGGGCTGAATATAGTATGAAAAGCACCCACCACAGGTAGGACTTGAACATATCATAAAATCTGTGTGAGCCTCAGTTTCCTCGTGTATACACTGGGAGTAATAATAGTATCTACCACAAAAAAATTCTTTATTTAGCCAGTGCTCAATACAAGGTAAGTATCCAATAGATATTACCTATTATTAGGATTACTATTATTATTATGATCTGATGTCCTCCCTTGCCTTCCTGCCCCAAAGAGTTCACTAACCCATTAGGAAAACCAGGTTGGAGTCCCCAAACCTCCCCTTGCACCTTGGAAGAAGTATGGATTAGCAACATTCAGGGTTGAATGGATTTTGGAGGCAGGAAGTGAGGAAGAAGGGAGCAGGACAAGGCAGCCTGAAGGTAAAGAGCCTCAGTAAAATGGATCTCTCTTGCTAATCTTGCACCTGATATCAAACGAGTTTAAGGGCCTCTATTTCTCATTAAATAGGACAAATTACACCCCGACAGGGATGCTATGAAGAGTCAATGGGATAAGTAAAGAGAGAACACTTAGTGTAGTGTCTTGCATTCTGTGGATGTATAATATGTATTTATTAAAAATAATAACAAAAACAGAAAACCACTCTGATGTGCCCTGGGCAAAGCCAGGATAGCAGGCCCTCACAGGAATGGTGAGCTGTTCCTCAGGGAAGCAGGGCTGGCAAGTGGCAGTGTGGTAACAGAGGGCAGAAGGCAGCAGAGTAGTAATGCAGGCTTCCCAGTCACGGCAGCCCACACACAGCTGGGAGCCAGGCCCCTGCTCAGCTGTCATGCTGCAGAAGCCCAAACTCAACTGGCAGAGACATAAATGAAGGCTGAAAGCCCATCTGGAGCATTGCCTTGCACTCGAGGTGGGAGAGACCTAAAACAGAGCTCTCAGGGCATGGTTTTTGCCAATATGGGATCTCCAGAGCTGGAGGAGAAGGGAGTTGGGTGATGAGTCTGGCAAAGCCTCCCTCTGCCAGCCCAGATCTTAGGGTCACTCACCCACAAGTCCAGCCTGCTGCAGGCCCCAGAGGGCAGCGCCTGTTGTGAAGGCATTCCAGAGTGTGCCCACCACGGCATAGGTGAGGATGGCACCCAAGTTGTCAAAGAACAGCCGGCTAGGCATGAAATAGCCAGAGTCCAGCACAATAGGAGGCAGCAGGAAGAGGAAGAAGGTGCCTGGCTCTAGCTGGTACTCAGCTTTCTTGGCCACAGCCAAGACAATGCCCCCAAGCACGAGGCCCAGCAAAATCAGCAGGCAGCTCTCAGGGACCAGAGATGTCACCTTCCGAGACAAGTGAAACACTACAATGCAAGAAGACAGCAGGAAGTATCAGTTTATGGGGCGCGCACACACACACACACACACACACACACACACACAGTGGCCTACAACTTCCCAATCTTATCAGGTTATTCAAGGTCAGGACCCCTGACCCGCAGGACTGCAGCCAAAGTTGTTTCTTGGTGCCCGTCATGGTAACCTAGGCCTTTGCTTGCTTTTTCCATTTCCAGAAATGCCCCTCCTCTCTACCCTCATCCTCAGGGGGCCTCACCTTTCTCTGATCTCCCTTATCCATAGCCATTATTTGAACCTTAGCAAATGCTACTCAGCATATATGTATGCATAACATAGCTATAAAAATCAGGACCTCTGGAGTCAGGCTGCTTGGGTTCAAAGCCTAGCTCCTCTACTTACTAGTTATGTGACCTTGGAGGAAATTTCACCCCTCCAACTGTGAGTTTTCTCATCAGCAAAATGGGACTAAAAATAGTAATGATCTCATAGGATTGCTGTAAGGTTTAAATAAAACAACCTACTCAGAAGCTCTTAGCCCAGTACTTTATAGTAAGCACTCAATAAATGTAACCAATTATTATATTATTGTGTCCTGCCTCCCTAACCAGACCTATTGCAAACCATTCCTCCTAGGAGCACTGTAGACCTCCTAAACCATATGCTTTTCGTTCTATAGGATTACTAAGGATTCGACAGTTTAAAAAGCAATGGGTTTAGCAGTCAGAAGATCTCCAGTTCTTCTTCTGGCTCCATCACTTTCTAACTGTGTGATTTCAGGCAAATTATTTAATTTACCTGAACTTCAATTTCTTCTCCTGTAATATGGGGAAAATACCCATCACACAGGGTGAGGAGAAAATGATACAGTGTGAATGTGCCTAGCAGGATGTCAGACATTTGGTAGCTTCTCAAGAAATGCTAGTTAAATATGACTCTGGAGGAAAATAATAACAGATCTGTCCACAGGAAATGAGGAGGAGGTATGAAATGGGTTCCTAGCACTACTGCCACTCCTACCTTTGTCTCCTAAAGTAAACTCTTTTGGCTTTCCCTTGGGCCCTGAGACCATGAGTAAACACCTACCCCCATACAGTCCCTGGGGTGGGTAGTGGGAGAGGCTTCCATGTTAGTCTATGTAAGACCCAATGCCAAGACAGTGCCCTTTGGAAGTGGTACTTGAAGGCCCTAGGACAGTGCCTGGCACATAGTGGGACCTACGTAAATATTTGTTGAATAAAAGGGGGGAAAATCTCCTAGCAATGAAGCTAGGGGAAGGTATCCCTGAATGTTCCACCTATCTTTCCCCTCCTCTCTGAGGATTATTTTTTTGGCTGGTAAGAAGCAAGTTCTCTTCTCTTACCTCCAGAGGAGGTGTCATCCAAGCTAGGAAAAGCACTATGATTTATGGGGGAAACCACAGTCATTGAAGGAACCCTCATGCAATTCACAGACTTCTCAACAAACCCAATTCTTGGCTCCCAAATCTGAGGCTCCTCCTATCTTATGCTCATTGTTGCCAGCCCCTAAGGTAAGTTCAGTCATAGATCTCCCACACTTATCCCTACCTTTGGTCGCCCGTTCCACTCCTTCAGGGACTCTATTCCATCCTCATCTCCAGAGCATGCATCAACCCCAGCAGTGCAACCCCAACCCATCACAAAGCCTGTTCTCTGACAGAACTAGGCTCCCTGAAGGCATTTCAAGCCCCATTTTGCATTATTAATGGGCTGCCACAGCAGAGCAGAATGGATACTTCTTCTGTTCCTGCCCAGCTCCCGTCCCCCACAAGCAGTGTCCCTGGGGGAGGAGTGGGGCAAATTCTAGGCTGTGTGGTTCCTACATGAAGACTTTATTGGTGAGACTAGAGTACAGGCTGTGCCAGCATAGATGGGGAGTGAGTAGCAACGCTCAGCTATAATTAGTCACCCCCACAACAGAGCCTGCACAACAGAGAGAGGGAGGAGGGTCTCGGGTGGGAGGAGGGGCCACTGGCTGCTCAGAAGTAGGGAGGAAGGGGCAGAAGCAAGGCAAGCAGCTCTGTTCAAGGAAAGGAGTCTGAAGCACAACCTTCAATGTTGTGCATACGGAAGAAGGTCGGACTATGAAAGCATCTAGCACAGGCAGCACATAGTGAGGCTCCAACAAATGAAAGTTTCTTATTCCCTCAAGTGGGAAGGATGGAGACTTGAATTGGGGGGCGGAGGGTTCCACAGCTAGGCACAAGAGGGGGGCATCTTTAGGGGAGCACAGGGGGGCTAGAGGAAAAGTGGCAGTTTAGTATCCTAGGAGAATGGACACTTGGACGTGGTCTCCAAGGAAGGCTGCTTTCTCAGGACCAGGATGCCTGAGTTTGCCGGAGAACACTAGCCCCTCAATGTCCCACATGTCCTCACTCCTGACAGAGGTTTCCAGGAGGCTGGGGATTGATGGAGTACAGGCCAGACCAAAGGGTTTACTGCAAGGGGAAGCGGGGATCAGAGAAGGCAAAAGTCTAGGTATAGGGCCGGAAAGAGCTGGGGCAGCCCTTTGAGAAGGCAAATGCCCAGAGCTCCCACGCGAGAATGGGAAGAGGGAGATCCACAAGAGGCGGCGCAGGAACTGTGTGAGAGCCCGGATTTGTGGAATTGCAACCTAAGTTAGGGCACTGTGCGAGAAGCCGGCCCAGATCTGGGGACTCGGGGCTGGGGGCGGGTCCGCTGCCGGCTGCCGGCCTGGCGCACGCACACACGCACTCACCGATTTTGGCCAGGCTGGCCACCAGGATCCACAGGGCTACCAGGTAGGGTGCCTCCACCTCGTGCCACTGCCAGCGGAAGAGCGTCAACCCTGGGGGAGGCTCGCCCGGCGACCCCGGCTCCTGGGTGGGCTCTTCGGTTGCTCCCGCCCCCGCCAGAGGCAGCCCCAGCAGCGGCAGTGCGGCGCGCAGCATCCTGCCGCCTGCCTAGCCGCCCTCCCGGCACCGCACAGCCGCCGGCCCCGCGTCGCCGCCGCCGCCTACCGGTCGCCCCCGCGTCACAGGCACGTGGGGCCTGTTCCCCCCAATCCCGGCTCCGATACCCCCAAGCCGGGTCCGGACTCCGAGACCCTGCCCCAGGCGTCCGTACTCTGGACCCCTACTCCTCCCCTCTAAACCAGTCTCAGCACTGGAAATTCCCCAGTGCAGCCCTCCCTCAAGTCCCGCAACCTACTCCCTCGAGTCCGCTCCCCCAAACCTTCCCCAAACCTCCCCCGACCCGGATTCAGAGCTGTAAGCGGCCACAGCCCTCCAGGGGCACCCCCGCATCCCACTCGCCGGAGGCGGCAGCCCGCTGCGGGAGGGGCAGGGGTCTCCCGGGGAGCGGTGTCCAGGCGGGAGGGGCGCGTCTCCTCCAACGCAGGTGCCGCCCGGCGGCAAGCAGCAGACCCCTGATACTGAGGCCTCGGGCTCCGGCGCTGCCACGTGCAGACAGCAGGGGGCAGTGCGCCGCCGCCTTCCGCGCCGCCCTCCGGAGCCTAGGACCCCCTTCGGGCCCCCGCCCAGACCAGAGCTGCGCACGCGCACTGGGCGCTCCCAGAAAGCCGTGATGGTCTACGCAGTCCCCAATGTCCCCAGAAACTCCAAGGCCCAGACTGGGCGCAGCTCATTCCAGGCTGAGAAGGAGGCTTGTTCCTCTTTCTCTCCCAAACCGAGGGGCACCCAGCTTCTCTTTCCCTTACACTACGGGGAAGTCTTCTCACCTTTTCCATGAAATTTAAGGGAACTATCTTCTTTCCCTAAACTATGAAAAACCCAGCCTATCGATTCCCTTCAAACTAAGAGGGATCCACCCAACTTTTCCCCAAACTCTAAGGGGCATTCGGCTTGTCTTGCCCCAAACTGAGGAGGACCGTCTCCACTTTTCATTCAAGCTGACCCCATTTCTTCCCCAAGACTGAGGGAAACATGTTCTACTCCCCCTCAAACTGAGTCATCTCATCCTTTTCCCAGAACTGAGGGGCACCCGCCCCTCTTCTTCCCCCAGCTAAAAGGGAATGATTCCACCTCTCCCTTCAAACTGAGTGTAATCTATTTTCACTTCTAAATTGAAAGGAGCCCATCTCTCTGCTTTCCCCAAAAGAGGGAAACCCATCCACTTCATCCCTCGAACTGAAGGAATCAGGGCCGTCCAGCCACTAAACTGAGGGAGACCTGGCTGGCCACTATCTGAAGAAACTTCCACCCCACCTGCCGTAACAATCCCTCCAAGAGAGCGCAACCTCATTGCCCCCAAACCCAAAGACAGCCTCCCAGCCCTCTGCGCGCTCTCGTAAGCTGGGCGCGAGCTCGGGTTTTCCCGCCGGCCTACCCAGTGAAGTAACGGGATCACGATCGCGCCCTCCGAGTGGCTGGCGGCAGGCCCCGCCTCCGGCAGCGGTTGCCCGCCCTCCCCGCGCGTTCTGGGACTATCCTTGGCTCCACCCTCTTCCTCGGCCCCACCTCCTTCTGGCTCCGCCCCTCCTAGGCGGCGTCCGGTCCGGCCCGGCCCAGACTACAGAGTGAGTTAGTTGAGTAGACGCGGCGGTGGGGCCGGGACCCGCCCGGAGGCGCGCAGTGCAAGCCAGTGGCAGAGCCATGGCGGGAGGGGAAGACCGGGGGGACGGGGAACCGGAATCTGTGGTGACCGTGCGGGTGCAGTACCTGGAGGACACCGATCCCTTCTCATGTGCCAACTTGCCGGAGCCGCGCCGGGCCCCCACCTGCTGCCTCGACGCGGCGCTGCCCCTGGGTGCGCAGATACCCACGCTGCACCGCCTGCTGGGGGCGCCGCTCAAGGTGAGGGGGGCCGGAGAAAGGTTGGGGGCGATCGAAGGTTCAGGATCGGCGATTAAAGCCTCTGGGAGGTGCCCCTCGGGGAGAGGCTGGAGCGGGTGTGTTCCTGCGGGAACGTCTTCGGTTGAGGCCACAAGGTTCATGCTGCCTCGCTGGCGGGGGCTGCCTCTTAAGTTGAGGGGAAGCTGAAGAAGGGAGATGGGAGCTTCTGGTCTGCGCCACCCGGGCCGCCCCTCCAAGTGAGGCCCACCTAGGGAGATGCTCGGGGTCCACTCGCTGCCTGTCTTCTACGTAACTGCTCCCGAGAGGGTGACTGTAGATATTTGGGTGGTAGCGGACCCAGGAGGCGGAGTTGGGGAGGGGCCAGCTTCCACCTGCTTCAGGTGAGATGGGGGCGGGACCACGAGGAGGGGCAGACCCGGGGCGGGTCACTAGAGGTAGCAAAGGCTTCGAGCGGGGTCTGGAGGCTGGATTGGGTCCTGTGGGATAGAGTGTTGCCCTAGCAGGTGAGGGCCCGGCTTGGGAGTGCCGGTGGAGAAGAGACTTCACGGGGTGAGCGGAGTCCCCAGGAAGCGGCCCGGCCCGGGACACGCCGAGCGCGGGAGGCTGCGCTGGTGGAATAGCCCTTTGAGTCACCGCTCCCACCGTCCCGTACACTCGCAGACGCTGGCCCACGGCTGGAAGGGAGGGGGCGGGCCGGGCTAATTTTAAACCGCCGGCCTGCCCTAGTTTGCCTGCGCCCCGGAGCTGACTCGTGCACAGTGCCGGGGGAGGCCTTTTTCCAGATGGCCGGCCCTACCTCCCCTCCCGCTCGCGGCGCTCAGCCCCCCGCAGGCAGCCCTTTCCGGCACATTGAGTTTCCGGGCCAGGACTGTGGGAGAAGCGCTACCATCCCTGGGGGTTCCCCTCCAGTCCGTTCGCTCCGAGTGGCGAGGAAGAGAGAGAGTTTGTGGTGGTGCGCTCCCCTGCTCCTAGCCTTAGCTGGGCGCCGAGTTGCGTAAACTTGCCCCCCGGGCCCGGGGTCTCTCCTGGAATGTGCCCCGGGCGCCGGGCCCCCAGCCTGCATTCCTAGCTCTGCGGACCAGCCCCGCCTCCGAGCGCGGGCGGGAGAGGTGGTAAGACTATTATCCTCAGGAGTGGCGCGTGTCTCGGCAGAGCCCGGACTTCAAGGCCACGGCTTGAAGGTTGCAGCACACTGCCCACTCCAAACTTTTGATGCACCCTCCCCCACCACCCCGCCCTGTTCAAAGAGGCAAACTAAAGTGGGCCTGGAAGAAGTATGTCCGGCCCAAGACCACCTCCCATTCAGGATGGGCACTGGGGAGAAAGGGGTGCTGAACTGGGGCCAGGATACTGCCTCCAGGCTCCTGGAACTCCTGCTGCTGAAATAAGCCTGGAGCACTACAGAGAACACAGTATTCCTCCATCCTCCACTCTAAGACAGGACTTAGCCCTGACACCCCTCTCCCCAATTAGGGGTAGCTTTGGGAAGTCAGTTACAGGAAAGAGGCTCAGAAGCACCCCTTACTTCTCCCCTTCATTTAGGGACCCATCTCTCTCCCCACCAGGTGTTCTGCCCTCTGTTGTTTACTCCCTGAGGACACTACTGAGCTTGGATAGAGAATGTGTTAAGTCCCCCACAACTCGGTTCTTCCCGGTCTCCCCACTTTCAGGATATCCCACTTGGTGTACCTGAGGACTGCCATATCCCCCACAGGCAGGATATGGGGGCAGGCACACTGGGTTACCACGGTGCTTGGAGCCAGGACTCCCTGGGGCTGGCAGCTGTGCCAGGAATGGTCAGATGCACTGTGATGTGCTCGTCCCAAATATAAACTGTGACCACAGCCCCAGAATAGAACATTGGAGGAAGAAAGGCTGAGAATAGGGTAGGGGCAGGGACATCAGAGAGCTGAGGGAGGGGGAGCAGGGCCCCTCCTTGCAGGAAATGTCAACAGCTCGTTCCTCCCCTAGGCCTATAAGTGTGTGCCCCATGGGTACAGATATGACTCAGGCCTGCCTCAGTAGCCCTCTAGAGGGAAGAGGTGGCCCAGAAACCCAGCAGTCCCTGTCCCAGGCTGTAGAGCAGAAAGAAGAGGAAGGGGTTCTCTCCTCATTGCTTCTTCCTCTGTACAGTTGTCCAGCAGGGGAACAGGACACAGCCAAATGATGTCTCCCTTCCCACTCTGGGCACTGATCTCCATCATCCCTGCAGACCCTGCCTCCTCCTGGAATATACAGAGACCCAGCCTACCTTCTCTCTGGAGCTCCACCCCACACACCCCATTGGGCTGGGCCTAGCCTATAGAGTTCCCCAGGGGGCTTCCTTTTTAAAGGATTCAGAGCTTTCAGGTCTGAGTAGGCCTTGCTCATTTCCTCCCAGTCTAGGAGGAAGCTCCTGGCCACAGCCTCTGACTCATCTCCTGGCCCTTGGGTGGGGGAGGGTCCTGGCAGTGCCTCGGGCCATGCTTGGTGTCCCCAGGCGAAATCAGGAGTATCTCTCTTTCTCTGTGCAAGAGCCTCTCCCAGCCCAGGAAAGAACCTGGCCCACTGGCCTTACGTCTTATCTCTTTACCCAGAGCTGCCCAGTCCAGCCCTCCCTGCTACCCTTTGCCCTTCTGGGTGGTGCCTTAGGAGCTCCTCCCAGAAACCCTCAGGCCCTGCCACATCTGGGATAGCACTGACTTCTCCCTGGACTCTGGGCAGGGGGACCTGGGTGCTGCTCTGACCCTGATACACAGGCCAGAGGAATGCCCTACTCCTGGCAGCAAGATTAACCCTAGAAATTACCAGCAACTTTGATTCCCCAGCTGTGGCTAAAGATCAGAGTAGGACAGGGATGGCACTGTCCCTAAGTGTTTCCTGACCTTGCCCCTTCCTACTCCAGCCTCAGTTTCCCCCTCAGAAGCAGTTAAGGCAAGGGGGCTAAAGTGTGAACCTGAACTGCTGGGACAAGGACCAACTGGAGGGGTCCCAGAGGATGCTTAAGGGTAAGATGGGGTGCTCTAATGATGAACTGAGCCCTGATATGGAGGTTTCTTTGGGAAACTATAGAAGATGGGGATGTGGGCATGAGTCATGGCCTCTTCCCAGCTTTCCCTGGGGTCGGCATGTCCAATTTGCTGATCATTCTGGGCTAGAGAGCCTGGACCGCAGCCTGATGAGGGACCCCAGGACCTAGGTCCTGGCAGAAGTAGGCACTGTTACACCAGCATGTATGGTGTATATGTGTGTGTGTGTGTGTGTGTGTGTGTGTGTGTATTTATTTGTGCTCCCTTGCTGCAACTGGGAGGACCAGTTTGGGGTATTTGCAGAGTCCAGAGAACTGAGGGGTGATCTCCAGCCCTTGGCAAGCCTTCAGGCCCCAGACCTCGCTCCTCTTCCCCTCCACGGTTCCCTGGAGCACTTCCAAATTCCATCCACCCAAGATCTAGGTCAGTTAGCCCTGGTTCCATTCCTAGAATGGGGCAAATTCACTGAATTTCTGAGCCATGTTTTCCTCATCTGTAAGATTATCGGGAGAATTCAACAAAATAGGCAACTCAGTGGCCTAGAGGAGGCATAACAAATGTGAGTTTCCCTGTTCAGGGCCCATCCATGTCATCTAATCCAGGAAGTCATGGTCTAGTTGGAGACCCAAGATAACAAGAAAGGAGGATCATCAGAGCACAGGGTCTTGTGTTTCTGGGAAAGGAGAAGAAAAAGGCAGTTAACAAATTATTTCCTAAAACAAGAGTCTTTCAGTGTAAAATTCTGCCGTCTTCTCCATCTTCCTTGGGCATGGCCCTGGCATATTCATTCTCACCTGATTACACTGTTATCAAAAGTATCCAGGAGTATACACCATGGACCCCTGAGCTTGGCCTCCATATAAAACCATATGTAACCAGTTGGTTCAGGCTTCCAGAAAAGCCTAAGCCCAGAGAATCAAGAGAAAAGTGGGCTGGAGGCTGAAGTGAGGGGCTGAGCCTGGGAAGAATGGGGGAGGGACTCCACCACAAGAGAGACAGCAGAGAAGTGCAGAAGACAAGAGCCAGGAGGGAATCAAGCATGTGGATCCATACTATATGCTGACCTGAAGCACTGTCAGCAGGGACCAGGGTTTGGGCTTACTCTGGCCTGGCCCAGCCCCAGGGTGTGAGAAACAAGGCCCAGAGGTTTGGCTCTCAGAATGGTGACCCCAGGAAGGGGCCAGGGGTGTGAGGGACAAGCATCACCCAGCTGGCAGGAAGTCTCCACTGTTTGCTGCATGCCTGACCCTAGCTCACCACGGCCCATCTCCAGCCAGGACAAACAGCTTGGGGTGGGGGTCATTGTCCTAGAAGCTTTGGTCTGGCTGTTATCTCTGGACCTCCTCCCCAGAAATGAGGCCCTGGCAGGATTAGACAGGTGAAGTGGCTAGGGAGGCCATGGATACCACCACAGAGGGAAAGGGATTAAACCTGGTCATCCGAGGAGGGTGGGGGTGGTGGAGCACTTAGTCTGCAGGACTCTGCCCCAAATGGATGCAGGCTTCCCAGGTATCCTGGAAGGAGAGGGCATTCTCTGCTCACTTGGGATTAGAGCATGCAAGTATGCTTGCAGGAAGGGAAGAGAGTGTGCTGGGCCTGAGCCTTCTGAGTATGCTTCTT